CTCAGTATGGATTTGGTAACAGGACTTCATTGCAGGAATCTATGTATGTAGGTCATCTCTACCTCCTGGCTTCCCTGGCATCCTTCAAGCCCCAGCTAAAAATTTTCTAACAGGAAGCCTTTCCTGATGCCCCTTAATTCTAGAACCTTCTGTCTGTTGATTATTTCCCATTTATCCTGTATATAGCTTCTCTGTACATATCTGTTTGCATGTTGTCTCCCCCATTAGATTGTAAGCTCCTTGAGGGCAGGGACTTTTTCTGTTCTTTGTATCCCCAGCACTTAACATATTGCAAGGCACACAGTAGGCCTCTAATAAATGCTTATTGACTGATGTCTATGTTCTCTCATCATCTCACTTCATTTTTACAACCTTGTGCTATCCATCTTAGTATTAAGAGCAGTCTTATTTATGGAACAGAAGTAAAGTAAGAGTTGAGTGGTCTATAGAATATAATAAAATACAGAATTTGTCAAGATGCCAATATTAGAATTTTATTCTTGAGAGCCCCTTATCTCTTTTCTTTTTTAATCTAAATTTTACTTTTAAAAGTTTTTCAATTAATAAGTATTTATTTTCTCTCTCCACCTTGGTCTCCAAATTGGGGTGGGGTGCTGGAGAGAAAGGAAAGAGAAAAACAAAACCCTCATAACAAATATGCATAGTCAAATAAAACAAATGGCCACATGGTCCGTGTCCAAAATTTTATGTTTCATTCTACATCTTAAGTCCATTACCTCTCCATCAGGAGATGGGGGAAGCATGCTTCATCATTAGTCCCTTGGAGTAATGGTTGGTCATCTCTCATTGATCAGATTTCTTATGTCCTTCAAAACTGTTTGTCTTTAAAATGTTGTTTTGTTGTTAAATTGTTCTTCTGGCTTTGCTCACTTCACTTTCTATTGGTTCATACAAGTCTTCTCAGGTTTCTATGAAACCATCTTTTTATCAGTTCTTATGGCATGATGATATTCCATTACATTCACATGCCATAATTTGTTCAGCTACTCCTGAATTAAGGAGCGTCCACTCCACATTCAGTTCTTTGCTTTAATAAAAGAGAACCGCTATACATGGTATTGCATACATGAGTTGTTTTTCTCTTTTGGGTATAGGCCTGATAGCAGTTTGATCCAACTTTACTTCTAGAATCTTAGGCCAGGAGAGCCTACATATTCTCTCTTAATTCTTTGGAATCTGCTCTCCTAAAAGTTTAGGATGCACATCAAGCTAGTGTTCCTTAGCTTATCTCTCATGAATTTTAAAATGACACCACTTCCTACTAAGGTTACTGACCAATCAGGAGGTTGACCATTTTGGACAAAATCTAATCTAGAATAGCCATTCACCTGGTTGCTCCCTTTGATTTTTCAAGAATGAGATTGTCAAGGCAAGTAAGGAAGCTCTCAGTTGCTCTTTAATTAGCACTATTGCAGGAAGTTTGATGAATAGCTGGAAGACAGATTATGGGGGACCTTAATGCCAGGGCAAGGGGTTTGTATTTTGTCCTATAAGGAAGAAGGAGTCACTGAAAGTTTTGGAGCATTGGAGTGACATTCAGACCTACATCTTACACTCTTACAAAGGCAACTTGTGAATCATTCCAAGGACAACTTATCATTTTCTGTGAGGCCCTGACCCATTGTTGGCAAGAAGTGTACATTCTCTCTCTCTCTCTCAATTAAAAAATTTTTCACTGATGTCCCTTTTTAAATATTGGGGAATCTAAATTGGGGGGCACAGTGCTAGACCTAGGGTCGTGAAGACCTGAATTCAAATAGGCCTCAGACACTTACCATCGATGTGACTTTGGGGAAGTCACTTAAACTCTGTCTGCCTCAGTTTCCTCATCTGTAAAATGATGATAATAATAGCACCTACCTCATGAGGATAAAATGAGGTAATGTTTATAAAGACTTTGCAAACCTTGAAGTAATACATAAATGCTAGCTATTATTTTTTTATTAATAATCCATGATGATTTTCCAATGATCATCCTCTCCTACACCAAAAGAACCTTCCCTTGTAACAAAGAAATAGAGTTAAGCACAATAAATCAATGTATTGGCCATAGCCGACAATGTATGCCTCACTCCACACCTACAGTCCACCACCTCTCTTGTTGTTCATCCTTAGTACTTGAAGAGGACCAATGATATCCCAATGATGAGGTCAAGGTACAGTGTCTTTGACTGTAGCTGGGCAGTCCAACATGAGCTCAGAAGGTTCTACGACAGGTCGGGCACAAATAGTTTATTTTAACATTTGGGGTAGAGATGTCTTCAGATTCCTTTGTGCTGCTGCTAGGTGGTCCTGCACCAATGCCTTCTGTATCTCACAGTCCACACCAGAGAGACCTTGAGAGTGTCCTTATACCACTTCTTCTGACCTCTTTGTGAGTGTTTCCCTTATTTGAGTTCTTCATAAAATAGTCTTTAGGTAAATATATGTTTGGCATTTGAACAGCATGGCCAGCCAGGAGTTGCACTCTCTGCAGTAGAGTTTGAATGCTTGGAAGTTCAGCTTGAGAGACGACCTCAGTGTCTGGAATCTATCTTACTAGGTTATCTTCAGAAGGTCTGTACATATTTGTCAACCTGACCAAGGCCTTTGATACTATCAGTTGTGAAGGCTTGTGGGAGATCATGGCAAAATTTGGTTACCTGGAGAAGTTATCAGTATCATACGCCAGTTTTATGATGGCCTTGCATGGGTTCTGGATAAAGGACTATGCTTTCACTCTTTCCTGGTCACCAATGGAGTGAAGCAGGGCTGTGTGCTTGCCCCCATGCTTTTTAGTATGATGTTTTCTGCAATATTGTCAGATGCCTTCATCAAGGACGAAAATGGCATTAAGGTCAGCTACTATATTGGTGGTAAATTATTTAACTTGAAAAATCTACAAGCTAAGATTAAAATGGAAGGAGAGTTGGTACATGACCTTTTGTTCACTGACGACTGTGCACTTAATGCAGCTTCTGAGGCTGAGATGCAACAAAATATGAATCAATTCTCTTCCACTTGTGCTAATTTTGGCCTGACAATCAATGCCAAGGAAACAAAGGTTCTCCACCAACCAGCACCACACCATCCATATGTGGAGCCATTAGTTACAGCAAATGGAAAGTTTTTGAATGTTGTGCATAAGTTCTCTTAACTTGGCAGTATACCTTCCAGGGATGTACACATAGATGATGAGATTGATGCACACATTGCTAGAGCTAGCTCCGTGTTTGGTAGGCTCCAAAGGAAAGTGTGGGAGAAAAGAGGTATTAGACCGCCTACTAGACTGAAGGTCTATAGAGCCACTGTGATGACCTTATTATTGTATACCTGTGAAGCCTGGACAGTCTACCAGCACCATGCCAGAAAATTAAACCACCTCTCTAGTGACAGATGGAAAGCCTGCTTCCTTTCAGTCCTCTGAAGTTATCATTGGTTGTTGTCCTGGTTGGAGGCCTGAAGTCTTTCAGTGGTGTTTTCCTTAATTTTTTTTTGTTTTTTTTTAAAAATTGTCTTCCTAGTTCTGTTTACTTCACTCTGCATCAATTCATATGGGTCTTCCAAAATTTCTCTGAATTCTTCAAATTCATCATTTCTTATGACACAGTAATATTCCTTTACACTCAAGGAGCACAATTTGTTTAGCCATTTCCAAACTAGTTAATCCATTATAGGCATATAAAAAGTATTGCAGTAAGTATTTTTGTGTACCTTTCCCTCTTTTATTTTTTCTGACCCAGGAAGTAGATCCCTATCCCCATTTCCTCACCCTCTTTTCTCCACCACCACAGCAGTGGAAATGGGGAACAGCTCTGATAGGTGCTTCAGATCTGGAGACAGCAAGAGCTACATTCTCAAATTCTGAGAAGTCTGAGTGATGGATTCTCTCTTTTATATAAGGGATTGATGTACTTGGTTACGTTCTAGCATGAGAAAATGTAGAGAACTGGGCGGTGACTTGTTCAGTATTTGTGATCAGCACAAAGAACCATGTGTGGTATCTGGGGATCATGGTCTCTGTAGTAAATAATATTCAGCTACTTAATTAAATAGTAATAGGGTCTAAGCTTGGAGGTTAAAGGAAGCAGAGTTTAGAAATATGGGTACAATAATCCACTTTTGGGAAAGTCATAAATCTTGCATTTGGCCATTTGGACTGTTTTGAAAGTCTTAATGAATGTCATTTAGCATCTAACAGTATTTACCAAGCATTGGTAATTCCCAGCAACATTTATCAAACTTTCTCTACTGATCCAAGGCCCCTGTGTCCAAAGGCACATGTGTCTATGAATTTGAGGGTCAATCCCTTGGCTTGGGGTCAGAGGTCAGTCTGCAGTCAGGCTCAGAGGTCAGTCTATGGTTGATGTTGGAGGATCTTTCTGTGGATCAGGCCTTTTTCTTTTGCTGAATCTTGAATTATCCCCTATTAAAAAGGATTTTTGTAATAGCAACACTGGGCGATGACCAACTTTGATAGACTTAACTCTTCTCAGCAATACAATGATCTAAGACAATTCTAGAAGACTCATGATGGAAAATGCTATTGACATCCAGAGAAAGAACTATGGAGTCTGAATGCAGATCGAAGGATACTATTTTCACTTTTTTTTTCCAGGGATTTTTCTCTTTTGTTCTGATTCTTCTTTCACAATATGACTAAAGTGGAAATATGTTTAATATGATTGTACATGTATAACCTATATCAGATTGCTTGTCAATTTGGGGAAGGGGGAGGGAAGGAAGAGTGGGAGAAAAAAATTCAAAACTCAAAATCTTATAAAAATGAACGTTGAAAACTATCTTTACATGTAGTTGGAAAAAATAAAATACCATTAAGTGGGGGGAAAAGAAATTAGAAAAAGAGAAAATAAAGAAAAGAACTTTTGCCCCTGTCTTGGCTCAGCCCTTCATTACAGCCACAGACCTAGGCATGTATGGGGGTGGGGGGAAGCAGGGGCTGGGCAGTGTTCCTAATGATTGTGCTATCTCTGCTCCAGGTGTCTCAGATCCAGGGCCAGAAGGGGTGGATAGCTGTGGTCTGCTCTCTATTAGGATTCTTTGGTTTTTCCATTTGCCCAGTTTCCTTTGAGTTAGCTGTTGAATGCTCCTATCCAGTAGGAGAAGGTACCTCCACGGGTTTGGTCTTTGTGATAGGGTAAGTACTGCCCTGGTCCTCTGCTAACTCCCCAGAGACACATCCTTCCCAAGTGTTCCAAACTTGCCTCTGTTCATGTCCAGCCATCTGCACATTCTGTCTTCTGCCAAACCCGCGTGATCCTCCTTATAGCCTCCCATCTACCTGCTAACCCTGTGTGACCACTACACAACTTCCTAAGTGTGTCATTCCTGTCTTTCTCTCTGCCAACACCATTTTGCTTCCCTTATTGCTTTCCCATTTCCCTGGCAACTCTGTGTGACTATCCCTACAATCACCCAAATGTCTCATTCTTACCTTCCTTCTTTCTGCCGAATCCTGTATAGCCAACCCTACATCCTCTCTAAATGCTGTCTCCTAACATCTTCCCAGTCTATCAGGAATCCCTGACCTCTTCCAATCCTGTGTAGACACCCCTATGCCCTTCCCAAGTATCTCACTCTGCCCACTATTCCTCTCCTGATCCCATTCCCTCATCCCTGTCTTTCCATCTCTATACCCACTTCAGACCCAGATATCTCACACTTTTTCTCTGAACTTCTCTCCTCATTCCTCCCCCCTCCCCGTCCCTGACCAGAGTGACAGTGGGACCCCAAAACAGAATTAGCTTAGAAGGCTGCCTGAGAGAAAGAGCAGCCATGACCAAGGGCCTTGTTGATCCTAGAGAGTAAGGGCCTAATTTTGTACCATGATGCCTGGGGAGTTGTGTGGTCTGTTTGGGTGGGAAAGTGCCTTTAGAATTGAGAGTCAGGAGTCCAGGAAGGACAAGGACTCAGGCTCTGGCTGTATCTGTGCTGCAGACAAATTGAAGGTGTGATCACCATGGTCCTGTTACAAGCCCTGACAATACGGCGCAGTGGCTCTGGCCCCTCCACATGCCAGCTGCAGGAAGGCACCGTCCTCGACTGGACAAGTGAGTAAATGGCACTTTGTATGGGCCTAAGCCTTGGAACTCAGGCAACTAAGGCCGGGGATGGACTAGATTCCATAAACTACCAGACATACATTGATTTTCATCTTTCCCTATCCTGCTTGCCCCATGCCAAGCCACATTGGATTCAATTCGACAAACATTTATAAAGAGCCTACTATGTGTAAGGTATTCTATTAGGCATTAGGAATACAGAGATTAAGTCCATGCTTTGAAGAATCTTACATTCTAAAAGCCATTCTTCTCCATTATACCCTATCCTATTCTGTCCCATCCTACTTCAAACCACCACATTCTGCCTCATTTTTTCCCAGCCAATCCCACTGTCCTTCATTGTACCCTAGGCCTATACCGTTCAATCCTGGCCTAGCCTAGCCTATCCCATCTCACCATACCCTTCTTCATGAGCCACTCTTACTTTTCTCCCACCCTTTCCTCACATTTCCATTTCTAGCCCTACCATTTTACCCCATGGACTCACATGTGCTGTTGAGTGGTGAAAAGTTTAAGTCCTTATGCAGCAATAGGCATCCTCTTGAATTCAGATTCAAGATATTTAGATTCAGATTTAGAATTCACATATAATACATTTTAGTGAAGACCTGTATGAGGCAGGTTGAGATGTGAGATGAGTGAACTGGCAAGCTCAGGGATGTGGGAATTCAGAGAAGAAAAGTATCAGGGAGGGCTGGAATTGTCAGAGAAGACAGTATGGAGGAGGGGCCTGGGCTGAGCCTCAAAGTTGGGATTCATGGAGACTCAGATTCATGTAGTAGAAACTCCAGATAGGGCAATAGCAATAGCAGAGTAAGGAATGAACCCTAGAATATTCATGGGAAGTAGGGAGATAACAGGTCTTAATCTGGGGCCAGATTGATACTCAGTCATGCTACAAGGTCAGGGTTCAGTTTGGGGTTAGGGCTCAATCTGAATCCAAGTGAGAGTTTAGTCTTATAGTAGAACTGAGGATCATTGTTGGGCCATTATCAGGGCTTACAGTGTGGCCTTGATCAAGGAACAGTTTAGGATTGAGGTCAAGGGTAGGACTAGGGAAAGGGCTCACTGTGGGGCTAGGTCATAAGGAGAAGCTTCATTGGCCCATATGAGGATGTTGGCTTCTAATCATCAGGTGACCTGGGTTGGCTTGTGACTATGTGTCTCATGAAGAAGGGTGGGGTAAGATGGGATAGGGACATTCGAGGCCAGGGCTTCATGTGACTATTTCTTATGACCAGATGTCATAATCCAGGGTAGGTTTACATAGCCTAACTTATCTTTCTTGTCTTGGGTTTCAGACTCCATGTTGTTGTTGGCTGGGCTATCCTGTATCTACAGCTGCATCTTCATTATTTTCTTCCACACATCATATAAGCGGCTTCAAGCAGAAGCCGACGTTACCTACAAGCCCCACAGGGCTGGAAAGGATGAGGAAGATGGAGCTTTGGCTCAGTGACCCAGATATACTACAGTCTTAACTTCCTACTACTTCCTAACACTTGTATCAGACTTCTGGTTTTACATTTTTTTTCCTCATGAACAACTTTGGTGAATTTTTTGGCAGGAAACATTTTCTGAAAACTGTTTCTTTGATCCTTCTTTCTTCCTAGCCCACTGGTATTCTCTGACAAGGCAGATGCTCAGCTGGAGAGGCACTGCCAAGGGTCTGACTCTTGGCCTGCTGCAACCAAAGCAGCTTTTGGGGTATGGTATCTATCCAGAAGGCAGTGGGGAGACCCTCTATGCTAGGCACTTAGGGAAAGACCTCAAATCAGCAATGAGGGCTAGGGGGACAGACTTTTTTTTACTGTTCAGAGAGAGAGAGAAGGCACTGAGGAGAGTTTAGTCCATACACCTAGAAGAGACTTTATAGCAGGCAGCAGGAGAGAATCCATATTGAGAAAGGAAAAGACCCATCACATATAACATTGGAGGAAGGATTTCTTCTTACAGGAGACAGACAGAGAGGAGAGAAGGAAGAGAGGGAGAGAGAGAGTTCATTACATGTACTAAGGAGAGTCTTCAGTCCAGGCACTGAAGAAAAATGTCATTCCAGGAACTAGAAAAACTCTCAACACTTGGGAGAAGTTCGATGCCAGAGTTTGTGAAGGAATGTAATTTGGGACAAAGCTTCTAAGCTCCTGTGCCCACTGTGGTGAAGTCAACCTGTTTCAAGGTCTCAGCATGGAAATGCTCTTCACTAGATTCATCTCAGCCTGGGGAACATAGCAAGCCTCTTTCAAGTGGCCATGGTCTAGGCCAAAGTCCTGTCCTAAAAGGTCCTTTGACCAGGAAGCTGAAGGATTTTTGACCAGACCTTGTTTGGTGACCAGAAGCCCTCAGGTTTTAGGTAAATCCCAGTATGTGAGGGCATGTCCTTCATCCTGTGCATATGACAATGGGGAGAAGGAAGCAAGCATTTATTAAGTGCCTACTAAATGCCAGCCACTGGACTAAGTATTTTCCAAATACTTTCTCATTTGATCCTTATAGAAACCCTGCAAGGTAGGTGCTATTATTATCCTCATTTTACAATTGAGGAAACTGAGGCAGACAGAGGTTAAGTGACTTGTCAGGGTCATACCACTAGTAAGTGTCTGAGGCCAGATTTGAACTTGAGTCTTCCTGATCTCAAGTTCAGAGCTCTATACCGTGCCTCTCAGCTGCCTCAATAGGACTGGAGCACAAATGTGTGTCCACCCCTTCTTATGTGGTGGTATAGAAAGAGTGGGACAATTAAGTGGTACAGCGGATAAAGCACTGGGCCTGGAGTGAGGAAGACTCATCTTCACAAATTCAAATCTGGCTTCAGACACTAGCTGTGTGACCCTGTTTGACTCAGTTTCCTCACCTGTAAAATGAGCTGGAGAAGGAAATGGTAAAACACTTCAATATCTCTGCCAAGAAAACTCCAAATGGGGTCACAAAGAATCGGACAGAACTGAAATGACTGAACAACAATGGAAAGAATACTAGATTTAGAGTCAGAGGACCTGGGTTCAAATCCTGGCTCTGCCATTTATTATCTGTGTGAGCCTAATAACTTCTCTGGGCCTCACTTTCCTGCCTTCCAGCTCTAAAAGTCTATAAAACCATGGTCTTTTGCTCCAGATTAGAATGGTTTTTCTAGGCTTCTGTATTACCATGCCCAAGACAGAATTCCTGTGGGAGTCAATGACCCTAAGGATGAGCTCTGGTGAGAGTTACTGACCCCCAGAACAAGGTTGTTGGGTAAGTTCAGGAGCAGCCCTCTGCCCTACTCCCCAGGTTTGGGGCACGCAGGGCAGGCCAGGAGACTGGATATATTTCAGAACTAGAACTTTCTTAGCTTAGAACTGATGGGGCTTATTCTGGGACCAAATATGGGCAGTCAGATCAGGACTGTGTTTGCTGAATAACCTTTATTGAATGGACTATGTTCCCCCCAGTCCGACTTCTTGTTATTCTTCCTTCTCCTCCCCATGGGTGATGATGTAGCTCAAAGCTTTATAATCCAGGTTTCCAGCTGCATCAATGGAAGCAAATTGGAACAATTGATCAATCTGTGGGAGGTTCAGAAACAAAATCATGTCAGGACACTCTAACGAACAGGGTCACATCGCTTTCTGTGATGGCATGGGAGGAATAGCAGGGGTAGATGAGCCGGCAGCACATTAGGGCTGGGTCAGACCTGATGCTGGCATGCTAGAGACAATAAAGTTTCATGGTGGTGTGCTGGGGCTGACAGAGGAGAGGCACCGGGAGAGGCAGACAGCACTGCCTCCATCCCATAGGCCTCCTGGGAGGGAGGGAACCGAAGGGAAGCATCTTCCAAAGTGGTTTCACTCACTTCATTTGGAGGCTCACTAGGACTGATAAGGGAGAAAAGAGAATGCTGGTGGTTGATAATTACCAGCCTGAGTATGCAGGTACAGGCTTTGCTCACTGTTTTTGTTGGTCGAGACCTATGATTTCATCAGTATAGGGAATTACTAGTGTAATTTGCCTGGGGCGCTGAGAGGCTCAGTGATTTGGTTGGGATCCCCCAGCTAAGAGGTGCCAGAGGCAGGGCTCAAACCCAGCTCTTCCTGACGTCAGTATCCAATAGGCCGGGCTGTCTCTGTTTACTCACATAGGACTAGGAAAAGGCAAGCAATTGCTGTTGTCTGAGCTAGTAAAGAGGCTGAGAATAGAAGCAGGTTCAAGAAGGGTTTAGACAAGCCCTGGAATAGCAACACCGCAACAGATTAATAAGGAAGAAGAAAGAGCATTTGGGGGTGGGGTCCCTGTCCAATAAGGACAGTAGAATTAGAGGCATAGCCATGCTCTATCCCCACCAGAGACAGCCCCTGACCTGGGGGAGTGGAAATACTGTGTGGGGCTGGGCTAAACCTGTCTGAGTAAAATGTTAGTTTATTCAGGTCTCAGAAGCTCTTTTTAAACTGCATCTTTGCCTCAGTTATATGCAAGGAAACAGTCCTTAAAAAGTTTGCTCTCTCAAGTAATATGGCCCTGGGCACTATAGTTTACTCAGCAAACATTTCCCACACAGACAGATGGAAGATTGAACTCACGCCCACACTCTGGATCATCTAAAACCGGGATCCACTTAAAGCATCACTTTCTGAAAAGAGTAAGTCTCCACATGATTTCCATGCCGTAGTTTTGTCTTTTTTCCCCTTTCTGGACATTCAATGAATGGCAGCAAATAAAGTTCTAGATTTTCGATTCCCACCCCCAACCCCCCAGTTATTCACTCTAGTTATTTTTAGTAAAGAGATGCTGTTTACATATTTTTGTGACCTTAATTATTATAAGTGTGAATGGTTTTTCAAGAAAGCTGATGAGGTCTCATGTGTTTGTATAAAATAGCTTCAAATGTTAAGTATGTTTTGTCTGAATTTGATGGAAATTGAAGAAGAGGATGGGAGAACACAAGGAACTTGGGGGGCAATAAGCTTGTGCTCAAGGGGAAAAGATGAAGAAAAAGGCAAAGTCACAAAATGGCCCATCAAAGGGACTAATCCCCAAGCCTTAAACCCATTTACTGGGAACTGGCAAAGGGCTATGGCTCCACAGCAGAGGTCTATGTTATATTAGGAGAATCAACCATTGCAATTTTAGGGTAAATCATAGAATTTGAGGGTCAGAAGTAATTTCAAAGGCCATCCAGTCTAAATGCTATGTGAATCCCAGCTACATCCCTGATGAAAGGCCACAGCCTCTGCTAAAACACCTCGAGTAACAGGGAACTCACTCTCTACCAAGGTCACTTGTTCTACTTTGGCACAGATCATAGTTGTTATTCCTAACACTTCCTCCTTTTATAGCAAGTCAAAAATCTGCCTCTGCAACTTCCATCCATTTCTTGTAGTTCTGTTCTCCAGGGCCAAGCAGAAGTCTTAGTCACTCTTCCACAAATCCTCCACTGAAGTCCTCCTTTGGTGCCTCCTCATTTTGCAGACCTCACTCCAGTATTGCAGAAGCAATGTAATCTCTAAGATCAAGCTAGAAAGAGTTTAAGTAGAGACCTGGAGAAAGACTGTGTTTGATATCCAAGAACCTTAGCTCAGTTTGTAAGGGTTCATCACCCAAAGGCTGCCTACTCGGTCATCAATTTTTCGGACCATCTTTCATTCCTAACTCATGAAACAGATAAAAATAGAAAATGGCTGTTAGTTCTGTGCAACTTCCTGTTTCTGTTTCAGTATATTTGTGGGAAAGGGAGGATTAATGATGGTAAAAATAACATTTTTGGACTTGTCTATGAATAGTTTAACTTTGTATTTTTAATATGAAGTCTTTAATGATGAATGAACATGCAACTGGAAGAACTGAACCATATCTATAATGACACTCTCACTATAAAAGAAACTAAAAGACATGCACAAGTTGTAGCTAAACGGCTCACAGGAACTCCTAGGAAAAGCAGATAAGAGTTAGCCTAATTCCACTATGTACCCTTAGCCAAGAAAAAAAAAACATAATTTCATGGGCCATTGGTCATCTCGCTTTGCATTGCCTATGATGAACATAATTAAATGGACCACTAAAAAGATAATTGAAATTTATACGCAAGATTCCATTGTAGAGGATAAAGTAATGCTATGAAGACCTTGGTAAAAATCAAGTCAACATATTCTGACTTCAGTACAAAAATGGGCATGGGAGAAAAATGGTGAAGAGTTGGAAGATAATGAAAAATATTTAAAAATAATGATTCAAAGTCAAAAAATGAATACACCAAAAGCTTATAGATTATTCAGAAGCCTCATTTCATCCTTAATACTTTCTTCAAGAAAAGAATCAGAAGGTGTTAAACCAGTGAAATACTACACAACATTGCCAAAAGTTCAATTTACTATAAAGACTTCTCCTCAGTGTGGTATGCATTTTCAGAACAAGTTATCTATGTGTATTTAGATTATTGATTAGATCAATAGAAAAGACCAATTTTTTTAAAGAGCGTAAAGATGAGAAAAAGATACTTAGTATAATGACAACAGCCTGACCTATTTAAACAAGGTGTTTACTCTAAAAAATGGAAAGTGGGGGAAAAAAAACCAAAAACATTGATTCTGAATACTGACTTTTCTTAGAGAAGCTTAACTAATGTAAAAATAAAATGAGGCAGAAAGTGCCAAGAAAACCCTTGTCTTCTAGCCAAGTAGAGATACAGGGCCTAGGGCCTAGGGCAACATCAGTTTAGAAAACATAATTTGCAAAACACTGGGGAGGGGGATGATTAAAGATTGTGAGCTGAATTGCCATACAAATCAATGAAAAGCAGTTGAGAAGAAAAAAGAGCCTGCAGAAAACCTGGTAAGAAAGCCAGCCAAGCCACATCATCATGAGAACATCTGTAAATGAAACCAGGAGGGCAACGACTCTGCCAGTGTTTCTGTGGCTATCTGGTCTCCTCAACAATTAAACCCCCTCGTTAGGTCAGTTAGTCAAAAAGCATTTATTAAGGGTTTACTGTGTGCCTAGTACCAAGGACTTGGATTGCTTAAAACACCGCCTGACAATTTTGACAGACAGGATGGGGCAGCTAGGTGGCGTAGTGGATAGAGAACTGGCCTTGGAGTCAGAAAACAATAGACAGGATTGTGTTTCAGATATGATTTTCCATGGAAGAACCCATTTGTACAATCACAAAACTGACTGAGAGGTATATATAATAAAAGATCCTGCTGCGTGATTTGCTGATTTTGTTTTTTTATATATATAAATATTTTACTTAGTAAAAAAAATGCAACTTTAGATTCCTCAAAGCTGGTATCTCCGTTGTATATGTTAAAATTGCACAAAACTCTGACATAAAACTTAAAGCTTTTTGCTCCCAGCATGGTTTCTGACACATAGCAGGCACTTAATAATTGCTTGTTGGTTGACTGAAGAACTCACTGATGTTACCAAACTAATTGACAACGCCCCTGAAACATTACAAATTTTCTTTAGTAAAATTCATAGCAATGCAAAAGAAATTAGCTTAACTGTCTCCGTGAGAATAACAAAACTGATGAAAAGCCTATTTTTATCCGGATTAACATGGAGCTGAAGGGACAGCCCATTGAATCTCTCTCTCTCTCTCTCTCTCTCTCTCTCTCTCTCTCTCTCTCCCTCTCTCTCTCGCTTTCAATATCTATTTACCTATCATCTATCTATGCATCTATCTCTATATCCATCTATCTATCCCTCTACCTATCATCTACCTACCCATCCATCCATCCATCTATATCTATCTATCTATCTATCTATCTATCTATCTATCTATCTATCTATCTATCTATCTCTGTCACTACAGATGGATAATGAGCTGGGCCCAGAATTGAATAGGAGAGTACATATGAATTGCATTTGGGAAAGTGCACAGAATCTTTCGTGATCCCAAACTGCTTGCTAGCACAAAGACCCATTTTATAACACCAACATTTTCCTGGTAATATGTCTGTGGATTACGGAATACCATGATCTCAGAAGAATCAAAATGACAAGTAATCCTGTAGGTGATGGAAAGAGCCTTGGTGCGCATAAGTCACCTAAAGACGACACCAAAAACTTGCACAAAAAAGTGGTATAAAAGACTTTCCCAAGGACATACGTGACCTCTCTTAGGGTGGTCACACAGCAGATGAATGGGGGTGAGGAGGGGAGGAGGAAGCCAACAAAGAGACAACCTGTGTGCTACACTGATATCCTGAAGATATGAAAAGAGTCCGCGGTCGCAGGGGCTTGGCGAGGGGGTAGTGGCCAGATTCTTTATGAAGGATTTGTCGGAGGGCATCGACAATAAGAATCACACAGGCTAAAATGCGTGATATTACGGGCCAGGCACTGTGCTATGCACATTACAATTACTATCTCATTTGATCCTGAAAATAACCCTGGGAAGTAGATGCCATTGTGATCCCTATTTTGCTGATGAGGAAACTGAGAACAAGAGGTTAAATGACTTGCCCACAGTCACACAGCTAGTAAGTGTCTAAGACCAGATTTGAACTCAGGTCTTCCTGGCTCCAAGCCCAGTGCTCTATCCATTGTGCTACCATCTACATTACATATGTTCAAAGTACATGTGCTGAAGGAGGCAAATCATACTATGTGCCAGACACTCTGCTAAATGCTTTACAAATATATAATTTAATTACTTTCATATCATTAATATATTATTAATATTAATAATTTAATATTAATTAACTAATTAACATTAAATTCTTACAACCCTGGAAGATAGATGCCACTATTATCTCCATTTTATAGCTGAGGAAACTGGGATAGGAAGAAGTTAAGTGACTTGCCCAAGGTCACACATCTAGTAAATATATGAGACTGGATTTGAACTCAGGTCTTTCTGACACTAGACCCAACTCTCCACTATCCACTAGATGTCCTCAATAAAGGAGCAGTTGAATGGGTTAACTATTTAACTGAATTCCTAAAACTAATTTTTAAGACATTTTAAAGATGAATTATGCATCAACTTTTTAACTTAAATATTAATATTTGGAAAATCATATATTCACATATTATGGAATTTTAATAATCTGAACAACAGGCATGCTTCATCCACCTGTTTTTATCTCTGAGGACAGTTAAGCAACTTTTAAAAATCTTTTCAGAAACTCATTTAGGAATCTCTGACTCAGAGATTTGATTATATCAGTACAAGATCATCGGTAATGAGGCTCAGCAGAGGATCTCACCATCTCTGGGGAATCCCTCTTCCATTTGGATTCTGTCCTGGACATCTTCCATGACAATTGCAAACATCTTTAGCGAGCCCATATCTCCCTGTTTTATATCCCATTTGTTACAAATAATCAGAAGATAATCAAGCAAACTTTTGTTACTTCTCCTGAGATCTAGTGTGACCTTCACATAGGCAAAGAAAATACCTGGTTGGAGGAGAACCTTTATGACTTCATTCTGCTCTTCCAAATCAATTTTGTTTGGTAGTCAAGAAACAATAAGCACAGTGGGATCTTATCTTTTTAACTTCTTAAAGCAAATTTTGGGACTGTCAAAATGCAGTCTACTGTAGAATATCATTTACAAAAGTCTTCCTTCTTCTTTCTCATATTTTCATCAAATACATCCCTGATACTTATATAGATTCCTTTCATAAAGACTTCTTTCAGAGATGAGGAAGTAGGGATATAGATCAATAGACACTGATTTTCTCTTGATTGACTTTTTTCTGTAGTAATACTATCCAAGACCTTCCCCCAACTCTTCAGTATTTTCGCTTCCATTGGCTATCTTGAGACTTGTTCCCTTGTGCCCTCAAAATGGTGTGGCCTCCAGCATAGACCCCAGCTATATATACCTGATTTGTTCCAGTTGCCCTTCCTGTCTTTTACATGATTTATTAACATTTCAAATTCCTCCTGCAGCATAATGCCAATGGAGATGGTTTGAATCTAGATATAGTGGCTCTACTGTGATTGGTGGGGAAGAAATTGTTACAGAAATATTGACAGATCTTTTCTGTTCTTTTTGTTTGTTTGTTGTCCTACTTCTAGCTCCATTTATAAATTTCTTGGGATGGTCTGGCCTAAATGGTTCTCACTCCAAACTTTCTCTAGACCTGTTTTCCCCTCCATGACTTCTTGCTGTTTTATGACAAGATATGACTAAGGATCTTCCACCTCCTCCTTTATAAGGTTTTACAAATGAGTTTATATTCAAAATCCATGTTGTTCCTTCCATGCCTCTTTAATTGGTAAGGAGATCTACTGCCTGTTTTTTGGCTCTATTCTGCAAGTGGAAGGACTGCACGAACCTGAAAGATCAATTTATATTTTTCTTTGTTTCATGGGTTGTATTAGTAAAAGAGTTCATCCCCCAGCCTGCTAGTGATGAGCCCTTCTATACTTAGGTAGGTTGGCCCTTTGGGAAACAGACAACATCTGCTGCTAGGATTGTACCTGAAGCCTTTCCAGCATGGTAGATCCAGCCTGAGCTTGAACCGTGCCTTTGAGAACCCATGGCTACTTGCACACTACTGTAAGTATTTCTAGTGGGAATTTTGTAGAAGAACTTGTCACTGTTCTTCCTAAGATGTGGTGTACAGAGTTGAACACAATAGTCCAAATGTGGTCTAACCAGGGCAGAGGACAGTGGGACTATCACTTCTTTCAACATGGTTATTATGCCTCTATTACTATGGCTTTGTTGAATTAGACCTTTTAACTATCATGTCACTTGGTCAACTCATCTTGAGTCCATTAAAGTTCCAAGACTATTTTCTATTCACGACTTCCATCTTTAATCCTACAAAACCCAAGAGTAAATCTCCACCATACAATAGCTATTACAATCATACTAATGAACTGGCTATCGACTGGAACTTCTTAACCTTTTGTGTCTCATGGACTCCTTTGGCAGTCTGGTGAACCCTATGGACCCCTTCTCAGAATCATATTTTTAAATTCATAAAATATATAGGATTATAAAGAAAGCCAATTATGTCAAAATAAAAAATGTTCTTTCTTTCTCATCCAAGTTTATGGAATCCCTGAAGACCCCAGGTTAAAAACCCCTGCTACAGGTGCTCTCAAGGGAATTGGTCATATGGGAGAAACTTGGTTTACACAAGAAAAGCAGTTGCTCCCATGTTCCTCCCATTCCCCATACTTAGCCTTGGATGACTTGCTCTGCAGACACACACACATACCAGCCTTGGCCTCCCTCTAGTGGAGGGAGGGATTAACCGTGGCTTGAGGGCATCAGTGATACCCCCAAGATCTCATCATAGAGAACATTGTGTGCTACCTTTGGACTGCTGGACAACTAGACAGCCTCTGAGTGCCCAGGACAGAGTCCCCAGCTAAAGCTCAGGACATAGTAAACTACCATAGCAATAAGGCCAAGGGGAAGATTCATGGAGCATTACAGTGACCCAGAAGCCACTGTAGCTGTGGCTACACAGAACTCTCAAACCCTATAGCAGCCACACACTCAATGAAGCAGGTTCTTGAGTCATCCATAAGACTTTAATTTACCTGGGAAGGATGTACCTAATAGTTAGAGTTGGGTAACTGATCCTTGTTGGGACCCTTCCCCCCTTCTCTCTTGTGTTAGGCCCCCCAGGAGCCTCTGCCTTGGAAGAGACCCCATATGCAGGAGACCCGCCAGTAAAGACCTGTCTGTTTCAAGTATGCCTTGGCATCTCAGGATTTTGGCCTCTGCTAGACAATACATAGCCCTACTTTCTAATGCAAAGGTGACATACACAGTCTCTAGACATGTTCACTGGAGGAAGAGCAATAGAAAAAAAACAAACCTCTCCTGCAGTCATCTTGTCAGCCTGGGACATCAGCAGACGCTTTATGCTAATAAAAGCAGAAGGGAAAATCATCCTGGTTAGTTCAACCTTTTTCAGATAAACATCACAATATCCCAATGACCAATCAGATTCAACCCTGGAACTTTGGCCTCCAGGGGATGAATTTTTTCAGCAGCTTATGTGAGTTACAGAAATGGAACCATTAAGAAATCAAGTCTCTATCAGAACTATGTATTAAAAGTGTGCTTTCCACCAGGTGAACAGATTACTTGTGTCATCTATCCATAAACACACACACACACACACTCAGAATCCCCAGAATCCATTTGAAGTGAGTTTCCACCTCCCTCCAACCTTCTGGCCTGATGTTAGCTCTCAGCAGGGTCATCCCTTACTCCTGAGGATCTGGACCTTGAAGTCCCCTGTCTCTCCCTTACTTCCTCTGGCCCTCATTCCTGACTTTTTCCCCCACTTTTTGTGACCAGGAACCTTTTACAACCCCTTAATCCATCCTGCCATATTCCTCATCCCTCCATCCCTGTGTCCCCATATTCTAGAGACAAATTGAAGAGATTTACTAATCCTTGTGGATTTTCCCTTTGGCATCTGGGTCCAGCATCTTGAAGGCATTCAGTATTGTCTCCTCTGTATCTGTCCCTGCAGGAACAACCAGAAAGATGAAATTAGCTAAAACCTTGTGAGAGATTCTAACTGAGCCTTCCTTTCCTCTGGAATGTCCAGGCCTGGACCAAGTCAGACTTCCCGAGTTCAAAGAGATCCCAGATGCCATCTACTCCAACCCCTTTATTTTAAAGAAGAAACTGAATGGAAGGGACTTGCTCAAGGGCACACGGAAGAATGGTAGGAGATTCAAGACTAGAGGACCCTGGTTTCCTGACTCCTAGGGTCCACTTTCCTATAGTGGAAAGAGTGCTGCGCTTGGAATCAGGTGACCAGGTTTCAAATTCCAGCTCTTCAGCTTAACTCTGGGAAAGCCACAATCTCATTGAGCCTCAGTTCCTTCATCTATAAAATGGGGATGCTATGTTTGTACTTGTTACCTTACAGAGTTGTAGTGAAGCAAGTGCCCAGCTCACCTTAAAGAAATATTATTACACGTACAAAAATATTTATAGCAGCTCTTTTTGTGGTGGCAAAGAATTGGAAATTGAGGGGATGCCCATCAATTGGGGAATGAACAAGTTGTGGTATATGAATGTAATGAAATAATATTGTGCTATAAGAAACGATGAGCAGGCGGACTTCAGAAAAATCTGGAAAGACTTGTATGGTCTGATGCTGAGTGAAGTGAGCAGAACCAGGAGAACATTGTACACAGTAACAGCCAAATTATGTGATGACTAACATTGATAGACTTAACCCTCCTCAGCAAGGTAAGGATCTAAGACATCTTCAAAGGTGTCATGATGGTAAATGCTCTCCACATTCAAAGAAAGAACTTTAGAGTTTGAATGCAGATCGAAGCATACTATTTGCTATTTTTTCTTCTGTTTTGTTTTGTTTCCTCTTTTTGGTGGTTCCTCCTTCCTTACAAGATGATTTATGTGAAAATATGTTTAATAGGAATGTATATGTATAGCCTATATCAGATTGCATGCCATCTTGGAGAGGGAGGTGGGGAGGGAGGGGGAGAAAAATTTAAAACTCAAAAACTTACGGAAGTGATTGTTGATAAATCAAAATAAATTAATAAAAAAAATGTTATCCACATCCAAAGAAAGAACTATGGAGTCTGAATGCAGATCAAAACATACTATTTGCTCTTTTTTTTCTTCTGTTTTGTTTTGTTTCCTCTTTCTTGTGGTTCCTTCTACTGGTTCGAATTCTCCCTAACAACATGACTAATGTGAAAAAAAAGAAATATTATTACTTCTACTATATCTCATTACTGCTTTTTTGTGGGAGAGCCAGAAGGAGCAGACAGTTTGATGGGGACCAAGGAGCAGCAGATCTAGAAGAGTCTATGCTGGTGCTGGTCTGTGAACTACAGGCATGGAAAAAATGTGGTGGCAGGAAGGAAAGGAAGAAGAATGGGAGACAGTAGCATGACCTGGAGCAATGAGGGAGGAAAACACTCTGGAAGAGCTTGTGGTCAGTGGAGAAGAGGAGGTCACAGCTAGCCAGTGTCATTCTGACACTAACTGTTGTTGCAGCTTAGGAGGGTGAGATCAGAGTGGGCTGGGTGGTCAGGTTTGGGCTTCCTGGAGGAAGGGACCTGAGCCTTTGAAGGCTAAGGCGAAGCAAGGACTGAGCACATGGTCCACATTCCATCTGGGCAATGAAACATGAACAAGTCTGTCCCAGGAAAAGAAGAAGTTCCTGGAATTCCCTTAGCTTCTGGTGGGGCTGGCCTGAAGAGATGCTTAGCAGGAGCCCAACGCCTGGGGCCAGCAGGCCATTTGACCTCTACCTCAGCTACAACCCAGTGAACTCACCATTCAGCTTCTCACCAAACAGGTTCAGGAACATTGTGAAGTTGATGGGGCCTGTGGCCTCCTTCAGCATGGCATCCAGCTCATCATCTTTAACATTAATCTTGCCTGTATCAGGAAGGTGAGAGTGGGGCAGGATAGAGATAGGGAGAGAAAGGGACAAATTGTGGGAAGTGGGGAAAAGGGACCAGGGGTGCATAGAGAAAAGGAGGAAGGGACAGAGAGGGGGATATAGTGAGGGGGAAAGGAGGAGTGAGGGAGAAGGGAAGAGAGAGGAAGGGAGAGAAAAAAAGGGAGAGAGAGGGAAGGGAAGAGAGAGGAAGAGAGAGGTATGGGGAGAGAAGAGGGAGGTAGAAAGAGAGGATTAGGGAAGAAGGGAGAGACAGAGGCAGGAGGAGAAAGAGAGGGAGAAGGGGGAAGAGGGACAGGGAAATGGGGGTGGAGAGTCCAGGACAAAAGGAACACAAGATAGAAACCAGGAAAAGGAAAAAGATGGTGTCAGGGAGAGGGAGAGGGCAGAGCCAAGGATAAAGAGAAAGACAGACATAGATAAGTAGGGAAAGAGGGACAAAGGCAAAAAGGTAGAGACACACATGTTTCATTCCTGCACATGAATTATAAAGGGAAAAAAATGGCACTAGCATCAGAATCCTCTAAGACTGTGTCTAATCCCCCCCATCCTCCTAAATAGCCAGACCTTATCTCCCATACCTCCAGCCTATTTAATCATAATCATAACAATAATTAGTAAGGGCAGCATGATGTAGTAGATAGTATGCTGGGCATGGTGCTGGGAAGGTGTGGATTCAAATCCCACTTCTGACACTTACTAACTATGTGACCCTGAGCCATCATTTATCATATAAGTTCATAAATTTAGATGTGACTTAGGTGCCATGTAGTCTAAGCCCCTCATTTTACTGATGAGAAAATAGAAACTGAGAGATATTAAGACTTGCCCAGGACCATGCATCTCGCTATTAAGTGCCAGAAACAGGTTTGGAGGCCAGTTAGCTAATTGTCAAGTCCAGTGCTCTATCCATTACACCACCTGTCTTTCTGACTTAACTTCCTCCTAGGTCTTGTGTCCTAAGTCATCCAGGCTGACATTATAGGTGCCGCCAGTATTTGAATAAATGATGGCTCCATCAGTATGTTATCTTGGGCAGAAGGGCAATGGGCAGAGCCCAGAAGAGAATAGGCTGAACAGAACACGATGGAGTGCATTTGGGAAATGGCAAAGGGTTTTTAGTGACCCCGAGCTCCTCTCTGAAACAAAAGCTTGTCTTTTAGATACCATTATTCTCCCAGTGATGAATCCTAGTGCTTGTGAATCATGGAATGACACACTGCAGGAAGAATCCAAACTGCAGGAACCCCTAAGGATGATGAAGAACTCCATGGTGGGTGTGAGTGGGTTGCAGCGCATTATCACTGATGACTGATAGGAAAAGTGATGTAAAAAAAAAAGTCATCAAAGAAATTTATGTCCAGAAATGGAAGCGGACTGGTCATGCAGCGAGAGTAAGGCTAGCAGATGGACAGCCTGGGTGCTCTAATGGTATTCACAGAATGTTAAAACATCTCAAGGAAGGCCTTGGGGCTGGATCCAATGACAGATTTATGAGAGGGCAGGGCAAGAATTACACAGCATGAGGAGACGTGAATGGATTGAGCTCGAGGCCAACTGAGTGCTCACATCAATGAGATAATTGACCCATTGATGTATGAAGGGACAATAATATGGATGATCATCATAAATATCACAGCTCACCCTTGTTTGGTGCTCTGAACCTTTCCAAGAGCAGAATCACATCACTGGAGCCTCCCATCAGTCATGTGACAGAAGCGGGGCAGGGAAAGTTACCTCCTCAAGTCTCTCCCCACTCCTATCTGCTCTCGTTCAGCTGCTTTCAGGGTTGTTGTTGTTGTTGCTTGTTTGTTTTTAAGACTGGGTCTCCTTCCGCACCCAGGCTGGAAATGTGGCTGCCACTCTGTAGAATGATCCCAGCACTGGTGAGCAGGGAAGCTTTCACCTGCTCCATTTTTCTATTCTCACCTCCTTAGGCAGCCTAGTGGCCTACCTGAGGCTCCCTCCCTGTTCCGTTAATACCTCCTTGGGCTCTGTTTCAATGACCATGCTCTGCCCTCTTCAGCCCTTCTCTCGCTTTCATTGTGGAGCATGGGGATTTTCAAATGAAACTTCCATGCCATCCTCTTCTCCATGCTGCCTGCCTCCAGTAGCATTCTCCTGGGATACTACCAGCTCCTTACCCATTGGGACTCTCATTCTTCCACCTTGTGCCAAAGCTCTGGCTTTTTCCTTTGGACTATACACTCTACCAGGACCCTGGTGAGCTCTCCCTTTAGGCTTGGCTAAGTCCAAGCAGAATTCATTCCTTGCCTCCCCCCTCCAATTCTCATTTGTGCCCACGGCCCTTGTCATCTATACCTAAAAGTAAGTGTTAGTCTCAAAACATGTAGATTATGCTATGATGTTAGGATTCCATCATTTTATTTTAACATAGAAAGAACAGAAAGGCAAGGGGTGTATGGCAGTGAAACAAGGCCTTGGCCTTGATTCAGAAGACCTATTGCAACTCTTGGTTACTCCATCTCTAAATCTCTGTCCAGCCTCACTGGAGTGTTGAGATGATGGATGGGAAAGGGCTTTGTAACTACAGAATGCTGTGCACATGAGGGATTAATATTATTAATTTTATATCATCATAATGAAATGTTCTTGAAAATCATTCATGTAAATTTTTTTTTCCAAAGCAGCTTAGGATGGATTTTCCTTCTGAGAATACATACCTAGGGAGGCATAGGTGTCTTTCAAATCCTCCTTGTCGATAAATCCATCCCTGTTCTGATCCATGAGTGTGAACGCCTGAAAGCAAACCAGGCAAATCAGGGATGAGGGAAATGAAAGGGGAAGGGGAGAGTAAGTCCCTTGTTAGGTCTCAGGAAGGCATCCACTATTAAAACCCCTTTGCTGACTCAGTCCTCATGCTTATGCTCACAGAGAGAAACTAGGTTTCTTTTTTTTTTTTATTAAGAATGCTGTATAGACTCAGGTATTTCCCTAGCATCTTCCCTAAACTATAGCCTTGTGTCACTTTAAATTCATGCAAAATAGGAGAATCAGGATTGACACAGATGGTAACATAAGAAGAAATCTGCTTTTCCACTTTACAAAAGGATTCCCAGATTTACAGGTAGGTGTACCTTGGGTTTCCCTGAAAGGAAAAGTTCTTAGGAGCACTTGGAGCTGGTCAGGTGAGGGGGAGAGAGAAAGGGTGGAGATGAAATGGGAAGGAGACTTACTTCTTTAAATTCCTGAATCTGTGTCTGTTCAAAGTTGGAAAAGACATTGGATGAGGCCCTCTGAGCACGAAGAGCACCACCTTCCTTCTTCTTGGTCTTCCTGCTGGCCTAAGATGGAAGCCAATAGTTTAGAGGTGGTCAAGGGGTCCCCGAAGAGCATGAAGGATTCCTTCCCCCAGGGGCAAGGAGGCCTAGGGAATAGTGTCATTGCCAATTCTCCCTTCCTTCCCTCCAGCCCAAGAAGAAAAGGTATTCCAAGGCTCACCAACTCAAACCAATGATTCTTTCTGCACCCTGAATCCCATCCCCTCCAGCCTCTTTTAAGACCTTACTCCCAGAATCATCCCCTTCTTCTTATGCACCTTTAATGTCTCCCTTCCCCTCTAGCTACATTCTTCCCAATCAAAAAATACTCTTTCTTGTTCACACCCTGGGATCCACAGATAGATTTCTAGGGATCTGTGAATTTTTTTTAATATTTTGATAACTGTGTTGTGATATAATTAGTTTCCTTAACAATCCTATGTATTTTTATGACTTTAAAAATATTATTCTGAGATGGGGTTCATGGGCTTCCCAAGGTGTCCACAACAGAAAAAAGGTGAAGAACCCCTGACATAGGGCTAAAGTCTCATAATTTTCCTCCCCTTCGCTGCTAAACTTACTTTAAAAGTTAGCTACGGACAATGGCTCCACTACTTGACTCCCAACTTTCTTCTCAGCCCTGTGTAATTGAGCTTCCACTCCACTCCCCTACTGACACTGCATTCTTTAAGTCACCAATGACCTAATTATCAAGCTGAAGGCCTTTTTTGGTTCCCTGCAGCACACTGGGGACTGCAGTCTTTTCCTGGATTCTCTTTCCTCTTTCAGCTCAGTCATCACACTCTCTTCAGTCGCCTGACCTTCTCAGCCTTCTCTGCCGGCTCCTCACCTCCTTTCTGACCCTTAAAGTTGATATTCCTCAAGGCTGTATCCTTGATCCTCTTCCTCACCTACAGTCTTTCCCTTGGCAATCTCATTCATTCCTACAGTTTTAATTCTCTTCCTCCCCACCCATCAGATAATTGCCAAATCTTTATCCTCGGTCCTGACTTGCAAGTCCAAATACATAGAGAATATTTCTAACGAGAGGTTCCACCAACCTCTTAAAACCAGTATGGCCAGCACTGAGCTAATTATCTTGCCCCCAGACATTCTCCTCCTTCCGACTTGACTATTTCAGTCTGTATTGCCGTCACTCATTGTCACCCTGTTTATAACTGTAAAATATCTTTGACTTTTCCCTCTCCTTCGCTCCTCCTATTTAATCCATTACCAAATCTTTTCAGTTCTGCCACTGATGGTCTTGCCCCTATGTCCTTCACTCTATTCCTATACCACCCCCTTCTTACAGACCCTCATTAGCATCTGTCTGGCCCAGTGTCATAGACTCTTTTTTGGGGGGTTGGGGGCTAGGCAATGTGGTTAAGTGACTTGCCCGGCGTCATACAGCTACTGTCAAGTGTCTCAGGTCAAATTTGAATTCAGGTCTTCCTGACTCCAAGGCCAGTGCTCTATCCACTGCGCCACCTAGCTGCCCCTGTAATAGACTCTTAATGGTTCTTTCTGTCCTTGCTCCGTTTCTCCTCCAGACTCCAGCCACAGTAATATTTCTTATTCATAAAGTTGGTCATGTCACTGTTCGAATACCTTCAGTGGCTCCCTATTACTTGGGCAAAGACCAGACTCCCCTGCCTTGGATGCCCCCACAACCTGCAGGCACCTTTTTCAGCCTTGTCTAATACTATTTGCCTTAATGAATTCTCTACCTCAGTGAAAGTACACAACCCTCTCCCACTCCCCCTCAAAAAAAAGAACAAAACACCCCACATCCTGTATTCTCCTGACTCTATAATTTTGTTTGGGTGTTTGATGTGACTGGACTCCCTCTAACGATTGAGTTTTTACCCCATTCCAGCCTCCATGGGGCCTTCTCTGATTGTGAGGTCAGCAGTGACCAAACTCAGAACTGTTTGGTGTAAGTATTAGCCCTTTCAAGCTTTCCTTCTCTAGAAGAGTTAACTAGAAGGGATAAGCAGAGAGTATAGACACACTCCACAATTGATGGTAGCCAGGGGCCTCTTATAGGACCCCCCGATGTCATCCTTGGGCCCCGGAGCCCTGTGACACTTACCATTTTTCTGGGTTGACTCTTCTTCTGGTGCAGCTCTTGCTCTTACTTTCCTGTCCTTCTACAGGCCTCCTCTGTTGTGGTGGGGAGGGGGCACCTTGGGTCTATAAGTTCCTGCTAGGCAGTCCCTCAGGACAGCTCAGGCTTCATCTTCGGCTCCACTCCCTACATGGGCAGGCTTGCAGATACCCACAGACCCCAGGGACTTGAACAACTGTTGTGTGTGTTTAGTGGGGGTGGTAGGACGGTGAGATTCAAGCAGGAAAACCTGGAGAGGGGGCATATCTGAATATAGGGAGTTTGTGGGGAGGCACTCTGAGAAGGAAGATGGTCTAAGGGTCTAAGGGCTGAGAAATCTGGGGGGAAGGGTGCTTCTGAACAAAGAGAAGGCTTTGGGGGAAGGAGGCCAATCTGAGCAGGGAGATAATGGGATGGGGTTGTCTCAGGGCAGAGAACCCTGGAAGTATGTGTTTCTGAGCTAAGAGACCTAAGCCTGCAGAGAACTCTGAATCAGGTATGTTAGGTCAGAGAGAAGTAGAGGGAATATCAGAGCAAGAAGACCAAAGCTTTGGGAAGGGGACTTTAAGCAGAGAGGGGTGGCATTTCAGGGTAGGGAAATCTAGGAATAAGGTTGTCTGAGCAGAGAAATCTGGGCCTATAAGGGGCTATAAACTTGCCCTATTTAGGGCAAGAGAGACTTAGAAGCCGTCTCAGTATTGAGATCTGCATTAATTCTCTCATCCCTTCTTCCTCCCACCCCCAAAACTTAGAAGAAGAACAAAAAAATGTAAATCATGGAAAACCTAAGAGTTTGGGGCCAAAAAATTGAGAGCAAAGGTTCTTGGCTTTTTTAATGATATGAATGCCTTTGGCAGTCTGCGATAGCCCAGGACCTCTTTTCAGAATAATGCTTTTAAATTAATTCAACGCATAGGGTTACAAAGAAAACCAGCTCTATTGAAATAGTTGTTGAAACATTAAAAAAAAATCCCATTAAGAATTCTGGTTTGAAGGAAGAGGCAGGCAGAATGCCTTCTTCCATGTGGCCATTGTACTGGTCTTGTGTCTCCTCCTTCTCCCACCCTGCCCCCTCCCCCCCTCCAGTAGAATCAGGTCATAGAATGACCTCTGTGATCCCACTGATTTGGGAACATTCACTTTGTAAGAATTTCATGTAAGACTTTGGGTCTCTGTGCTTTCTCCTTCTTTCTGTCCACTACTTTCTTCCCTGGCAATTACAAAGAGAAGCCAAAAGACCCTGTTACCCTTCCTCAGCAACTGTGACTCACCCGAGGCACAACTGTCTCCTTTAAGTTGCCTCGGAGGGTCAGGGATGACAGTTCTGGGGGAGAAGTCTCTGACAGGTTCAGGGAGAATCTGAGGAATGAGCTCTAAAGATAGCACCCGGGATGAGAGACTGGGTCCAGAGGGATGATCAGAATACAGGCAGGAGGGCTGCTGACTGAGCAGCAGGGAGGAAAGGGACCCATAGACGGCTCCCAAAGACTTATCCCAGGCTTAGGAGAGAGGAAAGTATAGAGTTAAGTGACAATGTCCCCACCCCACTACCCCCTCCTCCCACCAGGCTCTTTTATCTTTAGCAAAAGTGCCTTGGGAATATCGTGGTCATGTTTGGCCATCCCGGGAATATCAGAGCAGATGAAACAGGCAGGAGAGAGGGATATGTCTCCACCTGCCATTCCCCAGAGTCCCGTGGGGTTTGAAGTCTGGCTTTTCTTACATCTGAAGCCTGTCCCTTCCCCTGGATGCCTACTCTGACACAGTAGCTGCTGACTGCCTGCTTTATTTAAAGTTTATTTGGGGGAATGGCTATAAATCTGCATAAAATATGCCTCTTTTAGTTTCACAAGGTGGATTCTGTCACACTTTATATCACTAGTTCAACTCCAGAACTTGAAAAGGGAAGAGAGGAATGAACAGAGGTCCCTGAGTAGGCAGGACGAGATGAGATCATTAGCCTGAGTAGAGGGATCAGACTTGGTAAGAAGGAAGGGAAGGCCAGGCAAGGTGGTTGATACCCGTCATCCCTGCTGCTGGGAAGGCTGAGGTTGGAGGATTGAATGAGTTTTGAAGTTCTAAGCTATGGTAATCCTTTGAGAGTACAGGGCTACCAGGCTGCCTAACGTGGGTCGAACTGGCCTAAGTCAGAAAAATGGAGCAGGATAAAGCTTCTGTGCCAATCAGCTGTGCGATTGGGCCACAAGTGATCAGACTTCCAGTCCTGGTGAGATAGGGCAACTTAATTTCAGAAAGGAGGAGAGGTGCTACCACATCCTGTGAGCCTGAAGCAAAGGAGGAAAGGATAGATAAAGACAGATTTTGAAGTGTGGAGAAAACAAGAACTCACACGGGACATTTCTCAGTTAAGCAGAAGGTGAGTTTATCTTCTAAGGTAGAATTCAGATACTAAGGTTATAAAAGGAAGACTGGAACAGCCCCACTGTGTACAGCAAGCTGAAATTTTCTTTCTCTCCACATTTTGCCCATTTTCCTCATTTCTGTCCTCTGGAATCAAGCCCAATTTCTCTTCCACATGACAATCTTTCAGATAATGGAAGACAGTTAACAGATCTTTTCTCTAAGTCTCCTCTTTTCCAGGGTAATTACCCCCATTCTTTCAATTGTTCCTCATAAGACCCTCCTGGTCACCCACCTCTGGATACTCTACAGCTTGTGCATGACCTTCCTAAAGTATGATCATCCCAACTAAAAACAGTATCATAAGTGTGGTCAGACTGGGAGAGTACAGTGAGACAATAGCCTCCCTTATTCTATATGATCTGTAAAATCTCAATATTCTGTATGATCTCTATCAGCCTAGGATAGCATTAGTTTATCGATTGCTACATCACACTGTTGACGCAGACTGAGCTTAGAGTCTACTAAAATATTCATTCATCTCTTTGAAGTAGATTGTCTAGTCGTACCTCTCTCATCCTATAACTATAAAGTTGATAAAATTACTTCACATTAATCTCTCTTAAATTTGACCTGCCCAAAGGATCTTACATTTATCATCCAACATGTTAGCTATCCTTTCCAGCTTTGTGTTATCTGAAAATGTGAGGAAATATTACTATTATTCCTTTATCCAAGTCATTATGAAAAAACAAAAAAACCCCCCAAAAAGCCAAGGCCAAGCACAGATCCCTGGGGCATTACACTGGACACTTCCTTCCAAGTTGACAAGGAACCATTAACAATTAACTCTTTGGGTTCAGTCATTTTACTATGTCCAAACCCAGTTAACTTTACTATCATCCTTTTTTGTTGTTGCTTAGTTGATTAATCATGTCCAACTCTTCATGACCCCATTTGGGGTTTTCTTGGCAAAAATATTGGAGTGGTTTGCCATTTCCTTCTCAAGCTCAATGTACAGATGAAGAAATTGAGGCAAACAGAGTTAAGTGACTTGCCCAGGGTCCCCCAGCTACTCAGTGTCTAAGGTTGGATTTAGCCATCACTCTATCTACCATGCCACCTACCTGACTCTTTACTATTATCCTAGCAAATGCTAGTCAGATTTTTTTGGTTGCACACCCCCATCAGTAAAAGGTTTCTAAGCCCCCCCAAATACATATATATTTATTTATATATAATTTTCACATACTAATAACTACTATGTATTATCAAACTTATACAAAATTAGACATTTTTGAAAGATGGGGTAGTGACATGGGCAGATACATGCTCTAGGAAAAATCACTCAGGCAATTGTGTGAAGGATTGATTGGAGATGGGAGAGGGGAGATTCTTGAGGTGGAGGCTATTACTCAAATTCAGACAAGACATGATGACAGCCTAAACTAGGATGGTGGCTGAATGAGTAGTGAGAATGGGATAGTTGTCAGTGATGGTGTAGAGGTGAGTCAGGCTCAGGAGGGAAAGTTGAGGGCTTTTGCAGAGGAGGTTAGGGGCGGGGTTGAGGGAGTTTGGGGAATAAGGGTAGATGCAGCTGCTGAAACCATGTATCACAACCATCTCTTGGCAGGTGTGGTGGGTTGCCACCCATCTCATCTTCTGGGGTCAGGTCTTTTCAGCCCTACTTCCATTTTGGAGACCACTAATCTAGTCCACATCTCTCTACCTTTACCACAAAAAAAAACAACAAAAAACCCCAGATCAAAACAAAACAAACAAACGAAAAACAAAACAAGAGAGACTGTCAGATGCTTTGCTAGAATCTTATGTTGTCCAATAGCCCTCTCAAAAAAGGAAATGGGCCCTTGGTGATCACTGCTTCCCTTTCGAGATGCTCACTGACCATCCCTTTAATCTGCAAGGTGGTGGGTTCCTCACCACTTACCGTGTGATCCCAGCTCAACTGTGGGACACGGGGAGAGGGGTCCCCTTATCAGAGCACTGGACTAGGTGACAAAAAGATCACACACAAGTTTTTCACACGGGGTTCCTAGAACTGTCCCACAGTGCTTCCGCCTAAGAACCAACCTCGAAGCCTGCCCAGGAGCAAAGGAGAGGCGCGTGCGTGCGGGCAAGCTCGTACTGGCGGCGCGCACGCTGCTCCGACTCCGCCCTCCTGCCCAGGCGCGCACGCTTGCTGCGTCCTCGTTCGCGTTTCTTCAACCACGCCCCTTCCGTCCTTTACCCCCGCAGTCTCTGCCCGGCGGCTGCTCTTTCTGCTTCCGGGTCGAGGGTCAGCGAAAAAAATGGTGCCGCCCGTGAATGTCTCTCCGCTCATCAAGGTGATTCTCCACTTTGGCTTCACCCCAGGCCTCCGGGAGAAGGGAGGACAGGGAGGAGGAGAAGGAGGCTCGGGAAGGTCGGACGCAGCCCAGGGTTACCCCCCGCCCCCAACACACACCCTGGTCCCGGGTGTCCGGCCCCGCGCGGGGGGGAGGGATCGTGTATGAGGGCTCGTCCTTGTCCACGCGCGGCTCCCACTGACCCCCGTGTCTGTGTCCTTGTGTCTCCCGCAGGCGGGACGGTATTCGGCCCTGCTCTTGGGAATAGTCTACGGTTCGAAGCGCTATGGTGAGTGACCTCTGACTCCAGGGCGCCCCAAATCCCTGCCCCTCCCTATGGCTAGTGTCCCCCGACCCCCAGATGTAACCCCCAAAAAACCCTGCACCCATCGTCCTTGGTGACTGACCCCACATTCTGGATCCCAGGCCCCCCTCGAGGAACGAGGTCTAGCACCCCGAGCCTTCGGCCAGAGGAGGCCCGAACCCAGGGGGACGCGCCGGGGTCCCCGGCTAGCCCTGGCCGCCTTAGGCCGCCCGCATGGACAGAGGGTCTGGACTAGAGTCAGCAGGGGTCTGGCTAGTTGGTTTCTCCTGCTGTTTTATGGAAGCAGGGAAATGGGATCCAGAGAAGGAGAAAAGGAGCTTGTCAGCCCGAGGCCACACAAATCAGTGGCTGAGGGGGGATTTGAACCCAAGTCCTATACCTATACCACCAGGACACATATCTAACGTCTTTCTCCGGGCTTCAGTTTTCTTAATCTTAAAGATGAGAGCAAGAATCCCAGCCCCCAATACCTCATTCATAGGATTGGTTACATCACTTATTACATATCTTCAGTGGCTCCCTATTACCTGAGCAAAGGCCAGACTGCTTTGCCTTGAATGCCCCCCACAATCTGGGGTCACCTTCCCTTTTTTATGAATCCTGGATGGGAAATCAGCTTTGGAAACTGAAAGGCCTTATGCAGGTGGGAAGGCAGTTTGTTATTGTAGACAACTTTTCCTAGGAGGACCACTCTCAGGTTGACTTTAATGCCCAGGAGAGAATTTCAAGTAGGAGTTGTTCAGATTTCTAAGAGAGGGACAGCAGACAAGGAGAAACATATGTCTGGGTATAAAATTCCATATATTTTACTACAGCTGCTTATAAACTATTACAATCTCTGGTTTAATGGTTTTTCACAAAGCTGTGCCTTTTCTCCAGGCATTGCCCCTGATCTCACTTATCCTGACAGCCTCAGGGTAGGAAAAGGTGTGTAGGATGTAGGGGGATCATGTCAAGTATTTTTTTTTTCAATGTTAAAAAATTTGGGGGGAAGGCACAGAACATAATAGGTCATTTTGAACAGGCATTTCTATTTTTCACCTTTTGCATGATTAGGATTATATGATTACAGAATCTAGAGTCAGAAGGGACTTGAGCAAGCCCTAGTCCAACCCATTCTTTTAAGATTGGGGAAGTAAAGGCCCCAAAATGTAATATGACTTGCCAAAGTAAGAGTCACAGTTGGACTCTTAATTCTTTCTTTTAATGATGTTTTTCCTGCATGATTAAAATCATTCACAGATTTGAAAACTTGCAGAGTGAATGATCAGTATTTGTTCTTAAGAATAAGATAAGGTAAGAGGCTAGCCCCACAGTAGAGGGTGCCAAACCAGGTAACCTGCAGGAGATGCTGATAGTCTTGGCTCATGGTCATCTGTATGTAGCCTCTAGAACTGTATTCTGTATCTGAAATCTGTATACACACACATGAAACAAAGCTATGTGTACAAATATGTACACATGCATATGTATACGTATGTATATGTACATATGCTTGTTTTCCCCCCTTCTGCAGCAGGGATAGGTCTGCAGCCTATCCTGTATCTCTTCAAAGGCTCAAGAGGGTGAGCTTCTTGGGGTCTTGCAAGGCATTCCATTCCTTTGTTCCCAGGAGCTCGGCCAAAAGAACCATGATATGGGGAGAATCTGTATTTTCTAAGTGTATAGATTGTAAGAAATAGGGGTCTTTTAGAAGGCCTTTCAAAGCCTGGTACCAGTTTGCAGAGAAATAGCTCTGGCATGAGCATCAGTTAAACTATGACACGGAAGTGAGGATTATTCCTTCATGAGTTCATGGCTTTGGTTTATGTGTAAATGTGCAGCAACTAGTGTCAGGGGAACCTTAAAAGTGTTACTGCCAGAGCCAGGCTCTGACTAATAGGCCCCAAAACAATGGTATCTGAGCTAGTGAGTGTTCGATTCTGGATGTGTGGCATGGGAGTGTCATTGACAGGCCCCTGTGGAAATAGGATTAGTGCGTTCTCCACAGATAACCTGTGATTTTTGCCAGTAAAATGATTTTGTCCCCAGTCTGATCAGCTGCCCTTCTGCCAAAGACAAGCCAAGTTCAGAGGGTGAGTGGGAACGCTCTTGACTGGGTTCCTGCTCTTCCGTGCTTGTGACCCTGTAGGGTGTTAGATAAACTTTAAGGAGCTGACCAATGTATGTTGGGGTTTTTTTTCCCTCTGGAAAATAGAGGGAAAGATGAGTGCTTCTCATTAGTTTAAAAATTAGATATTTATGGGTTGGTTAAGACTATGACCTCGACATTATTTCGAATAGAATCCAAGTATTTAAATATTGGAAATGGTCTTGGAAGTCATTTAGCACAGCCCTCTTGCTCTGCTTGAAGGCGGGCTGAGAAGCTGTGACTTGGGGCCATGTTCACACGAAGTAAATAGGATTAGTAAAGATAATGGCTAGCATCTATTTAGCACTTTAAGGTTTACAAAACCTCTGCATTTAGTAACTTCCTTGTGTTTTACAACAACCCTATGAAGGCAGGTGCTGTTGTTATCCTAACTTTACAGATGAGGAAACCTATGTCTGAAAGGTTAACAGACTTGTTGGGGTCCCAGAGCAAGTGTCTCAAGGATTTGAACTCGGGTCTTTCTGACTTTAAGTCCCAACACTAACCCCCTGAACCAAGCAACAGAGCATGGATTTAGACTCTTAGGCCCCCTGAAGGCAGTATAACATTCTGTCTCATAAATAAGTTGGCTGGGGAATTTTTTTTCTTGAAACAGCTTATCTAAAGCCACGGGCAGAAAAAGAACGGAAGCTAGCGGCAGAGCAAAAAAAGAAGGAGGAAGAAATAAAGAAGGCTCAGCAGAAATTGGAAGAAGGTGCTGAAGCAACTACTATGGTTTTGTAATGGGGAGAATTCCCAACCTGACCTTGTATAAGGAGAATGGACTAGAGCTGCAGGCTAGGGGGTGGGGCTAGAGTGGGGGACTGGAGCTTTCTTCCTAGGGAGCAGGCAGAGTGGTGGCCACAGTGTTTGTCAGTGAAAGGGATCTTCTCTTCCCCTGGAGGGTCTGCAGCTGTTTCCATGGCTTGCTGCTTAGGGCCTTGGTGAGGGCTTTGCTCCCTGGACACTCATTGCCTGCTGTTTTTGCTTAGGGTTTGCCTGTAATGACCCTAATTTTCCTTTTTAGTTCAAAGGGTAATATTAAATTAATGAATCCTTAAAGGGTTTCACTAAAAGAGCATGGCCAGGGGTGTCAAGGAATTGTGGTATTTTCCACCATCCTTACTCTTCTAAATGAAATCAGAATACTTGGAAATGCTTCCTAAAGAAAGCAGTTGACAGAAAATAGATGAGCCCTGTTCCTGAATTTGATTTAAAACTAAGTGGAGAATAGGCAGCCTGATATATAAAGGATTTTTTTTATATTACATTATTGGTGTGGTTAGGTTTTATAAGATAATAACTTGTTCTTTTTCCCCTCCATTCCAGCCCGAGGTGACACCATATTGAAATAAAAGATTTGCTGTGTTTTCTTCTGCAAGAGTTGTGGTCTAATAAAGCTTTCTATGATGTATTCAATGTTGTGGATCTTTCTTGCTATCTCCAAATATAGATGAATTTAACATCATAAGTCCTGCTCCTCTCCCTGCCCCAGCTCCTGTGTCCCTGATGCCTGGTGTTCTGTCCGAAGGGGCCAGGGCATGGAGGACGGTGGGGGAGGAAGGTGAAGTTACCCTTGATGTCACCTCAGAGGTCAGCCAGTCTCCATCTTCTCCCCATAGTAACTGGTTAGGAATCTTTTATCCATGAACCTTTGAACCTGTTTTTATTCATAGCCTGTGATACCTGGTCATGTAGAGAATTCTTTGTCTGGCCCTCATTCTGTTCCATTGTAAGGCCTGCTGTCAAGCCTTATTTGGGATAGGATGTGGCAGCTCCCTGAATCCCATCCTTGTCCTCTGGACTGTTCCTGCCTCACACATCATTTTCACTTCTCTGGTGACATCTGATGCTATTCTGTTGGCAGATTTTTGGCTGTGCTTTCCCCAGGGCCTCATTATCCATGAGGAAGCACATGTGCTGGTTTTCTGCCCTGTCACAACCTTTTGCGGTATTCCTAGTATTTTACTTCTGCATTGCCCTGTCTGACCTTACTGTCCTTCACAAATCTGGAGTTTGTCTCATGTCCTTTCTCCAGACCAACCTGGGGCCCCACTGATCACTCTTCTCTGCAAAGTGCCTGTTTATTGGAGTAGTTGCTCATATTTGATACTGCTTTATGGTTACAAAGTGCTTTCATTAACTTCTCATTGGAGCCTCACAACAGCCCTGTGAGGTAGGTAATACAAGAAACATTCCCATTTTACAGATGAGAAAACAGGCCACGAGGTTGTTACTCAAGATCACAGAACTATGATAGAGCTCAGGGCTTCACGGTCCCAGGGCCCTCTCACC